CAGTGTGTGAGACACAATGTATCAGAGACACAGTGTGTGAGACACAATGTATCATAGACACAGTGTGTGAGACACAATGTATCAGAGACACAGTGTGTGAGACACAATGTATGAGAGACACAGTGTGTGAGACACAATGTATCAGAGACACAGTGTGTGAGACACAATGTGTGAGAGACAGAGTGTGTGAGACACAATGTATGAGAGACAGAGTGTGTGAGACACAATGTATGAGAGACACAGTGTGTGAGATACAATGTATGAGAGACACAGTGTGTGAGACACAATGTATCAGAGACAGAGTGTGTGAGACACAATGTATGAGAGACACAGTGTGTGAGACACAATATATCAGAGACACAGTGTGTGAGACACAATGTATCAGAGACACAGTGTGTGAGACACAATATATCAGAGACACAGTGTGTGAGACACAATGTGAGGTTTAACGGCGTTTTACTGAGAAATTTTGTCCAGTCAGGACGCATCAGTCTGCCTGAATTGATGGTACGTGAAGCGAAGTTCTCAATAAAGTGTCATGGCTCGTATACTGTGTCCTGTTTAACGCACTAGTCTGATGTACCATTGATGCACAGCATTAGTCAAAGAGCAACACTACTGCTGTTGATACTGTTGCTGTTGCTGCTGTTGATGCTGCTGCTGCTGCTGCTGCTGCTGCTGCTGCTGCTGCTGCTGCTGCTGCTACTGTTACTGGTGGAAGAGGCAATGACCTGACAATTAGAAAAGACCACGTACAAGACAGGTTATGTTAAGCAAGATTTGCCAGGAAACAGGACAAGTGTTTCCTGACGCGGGTCTTAGTCATGTGATGACCCATAGCTGGAGCTTTCGGTTATCTGGCCGAGGCCTTCCACTGGCTTACCCCTACACCCCCTTAAAAATTACAATTACGATTATAACCATATTTTAATATAAACAAAGGAGGGTATCTGGTCTGGTCAGGTGAAGGTGAGGTGGGGACCTGGATAATTTGACCTGTGCTGCTATCATAGGTGACCTCACCTGAAGACAGGTGACGAAAAGGGGGATTTTGGAGGGCCAGGCATGTTTCCCAGAATGAATGAACCTTCATAGTTGTGAATGATAACAGGTATCATGCACGTTCTCATGACACTGTGTGATACATAAGACAAGACCAGACGCTTTATGGCCCAGGACACAGCACGACACATGATACATGATGATAGGTATGTGTGTGTTCTCCAGTTGTTCTGGTCACAGACCGTGTCGCAGGGGGCGTTGATTCACGAAAGCCTCTCCAGGAATGGGAATACCTCTCCAGGCATGGGTATGCCTCTCCAGATATAGGAGTACCTCTCCAAATATGGGAATATTTCTCCAGGTATGGGTATACCTCTCCAGGTATGGGAATACCTCTCCAGGTATCGGTATACCTCTCCAGGTATGGGAATACCTCTCCAGGTATAAGTATACCTCTCCAAGTATGGGACTACTTCTCCAGGTATGGGTATACCTCTCCAGGTATGGGTATGCCTCTCCAGGTATGGGAGTACCTCTCCAGATATGGGAATACTTCTCCAGGTATTGGTATACCTATCCAGGTATGGGAATACCTCTCCAGGTATAAGTATACCTCTCCAAGTATGGGAATACCTCTCCAGGTATACGTATACCTCTCCAGGTAAGGAAATACCTCTTCAGGTATCGGTATACCTCTCCAGGTATGGGAATACCTCTCCAGGTATGGGAATATCTCTCCAGGTATGGGAATATCTCTCCAGGTATGAGAATACCTCTCCAGGTATGGTAATACCTCTCCAGGTATGGGAATATCTCTCCAGGTATGGGAATACCTCTACAGGTATGGGAATACCTCTACAGGTATGGAAATACCTCTCCAGCTATTAAAATACCTCTCCAGCTATGGGAATACCTCTCCAGGTATGGGAATGCCTCTCCAGGTATGGGAATACCTTTCCAGTAATGGGAATATCTCTCCAGGTATGGGAATATTTCTCCAGCTATGGGTATACATCTCCAGCTATGGGTATACCTCTCCAGCTATGGGTATACATCTCCAGCTATGGGTATACCTCTCCAGCTATAGGTATACATCTCCAGCTATGGGTATACCTCTCCAGCTATGGGTATACCTCTCCAGCTATGGGTATACCTCTCCAGCTATGAGTATACCTCTCCAGCTATGGGTATACATCTCCAGCTATGGGTATACATCTCCAGCTATGGGTATACCTCTCCAGCTATGGGTATACCTCTCCAGCTATGGGTATACATCTCCAGCTATGGGTATACCTCTCCAGCTATGGGTATACATCTCCAGCTATGGGTATGCCTCTCCAGCTATGGGTATACATCTCCAGCTATGGGTATACCTCTCCAGCTATGGGTATACCTCTCCAGCTATGGGTATACCTCTCCAGCTATGGGTATACCTCTCCAGCTATGGGTATACCTCTCCAGCTATGAGTATACCTCTCCAGCTATGGGTATACATCTCCAGCTATGGGTATACATCTCCAGCTATGGGTATACATCTCCAGCTATGGGTATACCTCTCCAGCTATGGGTATACATCTCCAGCTATGGGTATACCTCTCCAGCTATAGGTATACATCTCCAGCTATGGGTATACATCTCCAGTTATGGGTATACATCCCCAGCTATGGGTATACCTCTCCAGCTATGGGTATACATCTCCAGCTATGGGTATACATCTCCAGCTATGGGTATACCTCTCCAGCTATGGGTATACATCTCCAGCTATGGGTATACATCTCCAGCTATGGGTATACATCTCCAGCTATGGGTATACCTCTCCAGCTATGGGTATACCTCTCCAGCTATGAGTATACCTCTCCAGCTATGGGTATACATCTCCAGCTATGGGTATACCTCTCCAGCTATGGGCATACATCTCCAGCTATGGGTATACATCTCCAGCTATGGATATACCTCTCCAGCTATGGGTACCTCTCCAGCTATGGGTATACCTCTCCAGCTATGGGGATACATCTCCAGCTATGGGTATACATCTCCAGCTATGGGTATATATCTCCAGCTATGGGTATACCTCTCCAGCTATGGGTATACATCTCCAGCTATGGGTATACATCTCCAGCTATGGGTATATATCTCCAGCTATGGGTATAAATCTCCAGCTATCGGTATGCCTCTCCAGCTATGGGTATACATCTCCAGCTATGGGTATACATCTCCAGCTATGGGTATACCTCTCCAGCTATGGGTATACCTCTCCAGCTATGGGTATACCTCTCCAGCTATGGGTATACCTCTCCAGCTATGGGTATACATCTCCAGCTATCGGTATGCCTCTCCAGCTATGGGTATACATCTCCAGCTATGGGTATACATCTCCAGCTATGGGTATACCTCTCCAGCTATGGGTATACATCTCCAGCTATGGGTATACCTCTCCAGCTATGGGTATACCTCTCCAGCTATGAGTATACCTCTCCAGCTATGGGTATACATCTCCAGCTATGGGTATACCTCTCCAGCTATGGGTATACATCTCCAGCTATGGGTATACATCTCCAGCTATGGATATACCTCTCCAGCTATGGGTACCTCTCCAGCTATGGGTATACCTCTCCAGCTATGGGTATACATCTCCAGCTATGGGTATACATCTCCAGCTATGGGTATATATCTCCAGCTATGGGTATACCTCTCCAGCTATGGGTATACATCTCCAGCTATGGATATACATCTCCAGCTATGGGTATACCTCTCCAGCTACGGGTATACATCTCCAGCTATCGGTATGCCTCTCCAGCTATGGGTATACATCTCCAGCTATGGGTATACATCTCCAGCTATGGGTATACCTCTCCAGCTATGGGTATACCTCTCCAGCTATGGGTATACCTCTCCAGCTATGGGTATACCTCTCCAGTTATGGGTATACCTCTTCAGCTATGGGTATACCTCTCCAGCTATGGGTATACCTCTCCAGCTATTGGTATACCTCTCCAGCTATGGGTATACCTCTCCAGCTATGGGTATACCTCTCCAGCTATTGGTATACCTCTCCAGCTATGGGTATACATATCCAGCTATGGGTATACATCTCCAGCTATGGGTATACCTCTCCAGCTATTGGTATACCTCTCCAGCTATGGGTACACCACTCCAGCTATGGGTATACATCTCCAGCTATGGGTATACCTCTCCTGCTCTGGGTATACATCTCCAGCTATGGGTATACCTCTCCAGCTATGGGTATACATCTCCAGCTATGGGTATACCTCTCCAGCTATTGGTATACCTCTCCAGCTATGGGTATACCTCTCCAGCTATGGGTATACATCTCCAGCTATGGGTATACCTCTCCAGCTATATGTATACATCTCCAGCTATGGGTATACATCTCCAGCTATGGGTATACCTCTCCAACTATCGGTATACCTCTCCAGCTATGGGTATACCTCTCCAGCTATCGGTATACCTCTCCAGCTATGGGTATACCTCTCCAGCTATGGGTATACCTCTCCAGCTATGGGTATACATCTCCAGCTATGGGTATACCTCTCCAGCTATGGGTATACCTCTCCAGCTATCGGTATACCTTTCCAGCTATGGGTATACCTCTCCAGCTATGGGTATACCTCTCCAGCTATGGGTATACCTCTCCAGCTATGGGTATACCTCTCCAGCTATGGGTATACCTCTCCAGCTATGGGTATACCTCTCCAGCTATGGGTATACCTCTCCAGCTATGGGTATACCTCTCCAGCTATGCTAAAAGTTCAAAAATCTTAGATTTTATTCTCATGCTTCATTTTTCTACTTTCAGTATGTACTGGTTCCTACTGACAGTGTTAAGTGTTAGTTCCTACTTGCAGTGTTATGCACCGGTTCCTACTGACAGTGTTAAGTATTAGTTCCTACTTGTAGTGTTATGTACTGGTTCCTACTGATAGTGCTAAGTGTTGGTTCCTACTTACAGTGTTATGTTCTGGTTCCTACTGATAGTGCTAAGTGTTGGTTCCTACTTGCAGTGTTATGTTCTGGTTCCTACTTACCCATTGCAAGTTACGGTTGTTACAGCTACCAGTCTGGTGGACACAGGCGATGGAGTAGTTGAGGACCAGACCTGCTGGTTGTGCACACAGCAACCAACCAAATCTGCTAAAATCGGAGGCAGCCGCCGCCACTCCAACAACCACTCCATTGGAGTGAGGACACTCCAGCGTCCAGTTTGAGATTCCTAATGGCTGTGATCCGTAGCAGGAAGGGCAGGAGTACTGCAAGACCACTGAGGTACGTTGAATGTCTGTAAGCAGGAGGCAGCAGGTAAGTGTTGCAATGATATACAGTGTTGCAGTACCCCAGGGTATTGTTGCTGTACCCAGGGTGCTGTTGCAGTACCCAGAGTGTTGTATTGAAGGTGAAAGCTCTAAATCCTAATGGGGGAATGAGGGTGAGGAATGGTGGAGGCTCGATACCCCGTTCTCGTCTCCCTCTCTTACGGAGTAGTGAGAAGTTGGTGCTGACTGTGATCTGTATATTACCACCAGGAGCAAAGATGGAGTAGACTCACCAGGAACATAGATGGAGTAGACTCACCAGGAACATAGATGGAGTAGACTCACCAGGAACAAAGATGGAGTAGACTCACCAGGAACATAGATGGAGTAGACTCACCAGGAACAAAGATGGAGTAGACTCACCAGGAACATAGATGGAGTAGACTCACCAGGAACATAGATGGAGTAGACTCACCAGGAACATAGATGGAGTAGACTCACCAGGAACATAGATGGAGTAGACTCACCAGGAACAAAGATGGAGTAGACTCACCAGGAACATAGATGGAGTAGACTCACCAGGAACAAAGATGGAGTAGACTCACCAGGAACATAGATGGAGTAGACTCACCAGGAACATAGATGGAGTAGACTCACCAGGAACAAAGATGGAGTAGACTCACCAGGAACATAGATGGAGTAGACTCACCAGGAACATAGATGGAGTAGACTCACCAGAAACAAAGATGGAGTAGACTCACCAGGAACAAAGATGGAGTAGACTCACCAGGAACATAGATGGAGTAGACTCACCAGGAACAAAGATGGAGTAGACTCACCAGGAACATAGATGGAGTAGACTCACCAGGAACATAGATGGAGTAGACTCACCAGGAACATAGATGGAGTAGACTCACCAGGAACATAGATGGAGTAGACTCACCAGGAACATAGATGGAGTAGACTCACCAGGAACATAGATGGAGTAGACTCACCAGGAACATAGATGGAGTAGACTCACCAGGAACAAAGATGGAGTAGACTCACCAGGAACATAGATGGAGTAGACTCACCAGGAACAAAAATGGAGTAGAGTCACCAGGAACATAGATGGAGTAGACTCACCAGGAACAAAGATGGAGTAGACTCACCAGGAACATAGATGGAGTAGACTCACCAGGAACATAGATGGAGTAGACTCACCAGGAACATAGATGGAGTAGACTCACCAGGAACATAGATGGAGTAGACTCACCAGGAACATAGATGGAGTAGACTCACCAGGAACAAAGATGGAGTAGACTCACCAGGAACATAGATGGAGTAGACTCACCAGGAACAAAGATGGAGTAGACTCACCAGGAACATAGATGGAGTAGACTCACCAGGAACATAGATGGAGTAGACTCACCAGGAACATAGATGGAGTAGACTCACCAGGAACATAGATGGAGTAGACTCACCAGGAACATAGATGGAGTAGACTCACCAGGAACATAGATGGAGTAGACTCACCAGGAACATAGATGGAGTAGACTCACCAGGAACATAGATGGAGTAGACTCACCAGGAACATAGATGGAGTAGACTCACCAGGAACATAGATGGAGTAGACTCACCAGGAACATAGATGGAGTAGATTCACCAGGAACATAGATGGAGGAGTAGGCTCACCAGGAGCATAGATGGAGTAGGCTCACCAGGAACATAGATGGAGTAGACTCACCAGGAACATAGATGGAGTAGACTCACCAGGAACATAGTTGGAGTAGACTCACCAGGAACATAGATGGAGTAGACTCACCAGGAACATAGATGGAGTAGACTCACCAGGAACATAGATGGAGTAGACTCACCAGGAACATAGATGGAGTAGACTCGCCAGGAACATAGATGGAGTAGACTCACAAGGAACATAGTTGGAGTAGACTCACCAGGAACATAGATGGAGTAGACTCGCCAGGAACATAGATGGAGTAGACTCACCAGGAACATAGATGGAGGAGTAGGCTCACCAGGAACATAGATGGAGTAGACTCACCAGGAACATAGATGGAGGAGTAGACTCACCAGGAACATAGATGGAGGAGTAGACTCACCAGGAACATAGATGGAGTAGACTCACCAGGAACATAGATGGAGGAGTAGACTCACCAGGAACATAGATGGAGTAGACTCACCAGGAACATAGATGGAGGAGTAGACTCACCAGGAACATAGATGGAGGAGTAGACTCACCAGGAACCATAGATGGAGGAGTAGACTCACCAGGAACATAGATGGAGGAGTAGACTCACCAGGAACATAGATGGAGTAGACTCACCAGGAACATAGATGGAGGAGTAGGCTCACCAGGAACATAGATGGAGTAGACTCACCAGAACATAGATGGAGGAGTAGACTCACCAGGAACATAGATGGAGGAGTAGACTCACCAGGAACATAGATGGAGGAGTAGACTCACCAGGAACATAGATGGAGTAGACTCACCAGGAACATAGATGGAGGAGTAGACTCACCAGGAACATAGATGGAGGAGTAGACTCACCAGGAACATAGATGGAGGAGTAGACTCACCAGGAACATAGATGGAGGAGTAGACTCACCAGGAACATAGATGGAGGAGTAGACTCACCAGGAACATAGATGGAGGAGTAGGCTCACCAGGAACATAGATGGAGTAGACTCACCAGGAACATAGATGGAGGAGTAGACTCACCAGGAACATAGATGGAGGAGTAGACTCACCAGGAACATAGATGGAGGAGTAGACTCACCAGGAACATAGATGGAGTAGACTCACCAGGAACATAGATGGAGGAGTAGACTCACCAGGAACATAGATGGAGGAGTAGACTCACCAGGAACATAGATGGAGTAGACTCACCAGGAACATAGATGGAGGAGTAGACTCACCAGGAACATAGATGGAGTAGACTCACCAGGAACATAGATGGAGGAGTAGACTCACCAGGAACATAGATGGAGGAGTAGACTCACCAGGAACATAGATGGAGGAGTAGACTCACCAGGAACATAGATGGAGGAGTAGACTCACCAGGAACATAGATGGAGTAGACTCACCAGGAACATAGATGGAGGAGTAGACTCACCAGGAACATAGATGGAGGAGTAGACTCACCAGGAACATAGATGGAGGAGTAGACTCACCAGGAACATAGATGGAGTAGACTCACCAGGAACATAGATGGAGGAGTAGGCTCACCAGGAACATAGATGGAGGAGTAGACTCACCAGGAACATAGATGGAGTAGACTCACCAGGAACATAGATGGAGGAGTAGACTCACCAGAACATAGATGGAGTAGACTCACCAGGAACATAGATGGAGGAGTAGGCTCACCAGGAACATAGATGGAGTAGACTCACCAGGAACATAGATGGAGGAGTAGACTCACCAGGAACATAGATGGAGGAGTAGACTCACCAGGAACATAGATGGAGGAGTAGACTCACCAGGAACATAGATGGAGGAGTAGACTCACCAGGAACATAGATGGAGTAGACTCACCAGGAACATAGATGGAGGAGTAGACTCACCAGGAACATAGATGGAGGAGTAGACTCACCAGGAACATAGATGGAGGAGTAGACTCACCAGGAACATAGATGGAGGAGTAGGCTCACCAGGAACATAGATGGAGGAGTAGGCTCACCAGGAACATAGATGGAGGAGTAGACTCACCAGGAACATAGATGGAGTAGACTCACCAGGAACATAGATGGAGGAGTAGACTCACCAGGAACATAGATGGAGGAGTAGGCTCACCAGGAACATAGATGGAGTAGACTCACCAGGAACATAGATGGAGGAGTAGACTCACCAGGAACATAGATGGAGGAGTAGACTCACCAGGAACATAGATGGAGGAGTAGACTCACCAGGAACATAGATGGAGTAGACTCACCAGGAACATAGATGGAGGAGTAGACTCACCAGGAACATAGATGGAGGAGTAGACTCACCAGGAACATAGATGGAGGAAGTAGGATCAGCAACAACTGTACGGAGGGAGGAGAGAGTCTCACAGGAAGTTCCCAGCCAGTTCATTCCCAGACAGATGGACTCTGAAGACGAGATAATACTTTATCTTAGCTCCCCACCACCTGAGTAATATCTGCACCACCTGAGTAATATCTCCAGCACCACCTGAGTAATATCTCCAGCACCACCTGAGTAATATCTGCACCACCTGAGTAATATCTCCAGCACCAACTGAGTAATATCTGCACCACCACCTGAGTAATATCTGCGCCACCACCTGAGTAATATCTGCACCACCACCTGAGTAATATCTCCAGCACCACCTGAGTAATATCTGCACCACCTGAGTAATATCTCCAGCACCACCTGAGTAATATCTGCACCACCTGAGTAATATCTCCAGCACCACCTGAGTAATATCTGCACCACCTGAGTAATATCTCCAGCACCACCTGAGTAATATCTCCACCACCTGAGTAATATCTCCAGCACCACCTGAGTAATATCTCCAGCACCACCTGAGTAATATCTCCACCACCACCTGAGTAATATCTCCAGCACCACCTTAGTAATATCCCCAGCACCACCTTAGTAATATCCCCAGCACCACCTTAGTAATATCCCCAGCACCACCTGAGTAATATCCCCAGCACCACCTGAGTAATATCCCCAGCACCACCTGAGTAATATCCCCACCACCACCTGAGTAATATCCCCAGCACCACCCTGAGTAATATCCCCAGCACCACCTGAGTAATATCCCCACCACCACCTGAGTAATATCCCCAGCACCACCTGAGTAATATCCCCAGCACCACCTGAGTAATATCCCCAGCACCACCTGAGTAATATCCCCAGCACCACCTGAGTAATATCCCCACCACCACCTGAGTAATATCTCCAGCACCACCTGAGTAATATCCCCAGCACCACCTGAGTAATATCTCCACCACCACCTGAGTAATATCTCCAGCACCACCTGAGTAATATCCCCACCACCACCTGAGTAATATCCCCACCACCACCTGAGTAATATCCCCACCACCACCTGAGTAATATCTCCAGCACCACCTGAGTAATATCCCCAGCACCACCTGAGTAATATCTCCACCACCACCTGAGTAATATCTCCAGCACCACCTGAGTAATAATCCCCAGCACCACCTGAGTAATAATCTCCACCACCACCTGAGTAATATCTCCAGCACCACCTGAGTAATATCCCCACCACCACCTGAGTAATATCTCCACCACCACCTGAGTAATATCTCCAGCACCACCTGAGTAATATCCCCACCACCACCTGAGTAATATCTCCACCACCACCTGAGTAATATCTCCAGCACCACCTGAGTAATATCTCCAGCACCACCTGAGTAATATCTCCAGCACCACCTGAGTAATATCTCCAGCACCACCTGAGTAATATCTCCACCACCACCTGAGTAATATCTCCACCACCACCTGAGTAATATCTCCAGCACCACCTGAGTAATATCTCCAGCACCACCTGAGTAATATCTCCAGCACCACCTGAGTAATATCTCCAGCACCACCTGAGTAATATCTCCACCACCACCTGAGTAATATCCCCACCACCACCTGAGTAATATCTCCACCACCACCTGAGTAATATCTCCACCACCACCTGAGTAATACTTCCACCACCACCTGAGTAATATCTCCACCACCACCTGAGTAATACTTCCACCACCACCTGAGTAATATCTCCACCACCACCTGAGTAATATCTCCAGCACCACCTGAGTAATATCTCCAGCACCACCTGAGTAATACTTCCACCACCACCTGAGTAATATCTCCACCACCACCTGAGTAATATCTCCAGCACCACCTGAGTAATACTTCCACCACCACCTGAGTAATATCTCCACCACCACCTGAGTAATACCTCCACCACCACCTGAGTAATATCTCCACCACCACCTGAGTAATACCTCCACCACCACCTGAGTAATATCTCCAGCACCACCTGAGTAATACCTCCACCACCACCTGAGTAATATCTCCACCACCACCTGAGTAATACCTCCACCACCACCTGAGTAATACTTCCACCACCACCTGAGTAATATCTCCACCACCACCTGAGTAATACCTCCACCACCACCTGAGTAATACCTCCACCACCACCTGAGTAATATCTCCACCACCACCTGAGTAATACCTCCACCACCACCTGAGTAATACTTCCACCACCACCTGAGTAATATCTCCACCACCACCTGAGTAATACCTCCACCACCACCTGAGTAATATCTCCACCACCACCTGAGTAATACCTCCACCACCACCTGAGTAATACCTCCACCACCACCTGAGTAATATCTCCACCACCACCTGAGTAATACCTCCACCACCACCTGAGTAATATCTCCACCACCACCTGAGTAATATCTCCACCACCACCTGAGTAATACTTCCACCACCACCTGAGTAATACTTCCACCACCACCAAGCAATATCTATATTTATATTTATTTATATTATACATTATACATTATATATATTATTTATATCTTACGTATGTACATCAGTATGTTACAGAAGCTTGTACAACTCTTTTGTGATGAGTGTCTCTGTAGAATGATGTGGGGCAGGTCTTGCTAATTCCACTCGTGGGACACGCTCACTTATGACGGCAACTCCAGCTGCTGCGCTTCACCTCTAGTGCAGAACGTCTGCCCGCTTGCCTGTGCTTTAGGTTTGAGGGACTGACCACCTCCATCCGAGGGTGACTGATTGATCACATCAAGACTGCTACTGCTTCCAGTGCTGTATTAACCTGTACTCGACTGAAGAACTCTCATGTTTGAGCGAAACGTTTCACAGATAAAGAGACGTGTTTGGTATTGCTGTGTGTTGATTAAAGCAATTTCCAGACATCTTGTGTGACTTGGACCTGCCTAGCATGGGCCAGTAGGCCTACTGCAGAGCCAATCCTTTCTAATGCGTTGTCATCTGAAGGCCGTGGCTGGTGACGGCACACTCACCAGTAAGACTCACCAGTAAGACTCACCAGTAAGACTCACCAGTAAGACTCACCAGTAAGACTCACCAGTAAGACTCACCGGTAAGATTCACCAGTAAGACTCACCAGTAAGATTCACCAGTAAGACTAACCAGTAAAATTCACCAGTAAGACTCACCAGTAAGACTCACCAGTAAGATTCACCAGTAAGACTCACCAGTAAGACTCACCAGTAAGACTCACCAGTAAGATTCACAAGTAAAACTAACCAGTAAGATTCACCAGTAAGACTCACCAGTAGGACTCACCAGCAAGATTCACCAGTAAGACTCACCAGTAAGATTCACCAGTAAGACTCACCAGTAAGACTCACCAGTAAGATTCAACAGTAAGACTCACCAGTAAGACTCACCAGTAAGATTCACCAGTAAGACTCACCAATAAGACTCACCAGCAAGATTCACCAGTAAGACTCACCAGTAAGATTCACCAGTAAGACTCACCAGCAAGACTCACCAGCAAGATTCACCAGTAAGACTCACCAGTAAGATTCAACAGTAAGACTCACCAGTAAGATTCACCAGTAAGACTCACCAGTAAGATTCAACAGTAAGACTCACCAGTAAGGTTCACCAGTTAGACTCACCAGTAAGACTCACCAGTAAGATTCAACAGTAAGACTCACCAGTAAGATTCACCAGTAAGACTCACCAGTAAGATTCAACAGTAAGACTCACCAGTAAGACTCACCAGTAAGATTCACCAGTAAGACTCACCAGTAAGAATCACTAGTAAGACTCACCAGTAAGACTCACCAGTAAGACTCACCAGTAAGATTCACCAGTAAGACTCAGCAGTAAGATTCAACAGTAAGACTCACCAGTAAGATTCAACAGTATGATTCACCAGTAAGACTCACCAGCAAGACTCACCAGTAAGACTCACCAGTAAGACTCACCAGTAAGACTCACCAGTAAGATTCACCAGTAAGACTCACCAGTAAGATTCACCAGTAAGACTCACCAGTAAGACTCACCAGTAAGACTCACCAGTAAGACTCACCAGTAAGACTCACAAATGAGACTCACCAGTGAAACTCACCAGTAAGATTCACCAGTAAGACTCACCAGTAAGACTCACCAGTAAGACTCACCAGTAAGATTCAACAGTAAGATTCACCAGTAAGACTCACCAGTAAGACTCACCAGTAAGACTCACAAGTAAGACTCACCAGTAAGATTCACCAGTAAGACTCACCAGTAAGACTCACCAGTAAGACTCACCAGTAAGACTCACCAGTAAGACTCACCGGTAAAACTCACCAGTAAGATTCACCAGTAAGACTCACCAGTAAGACTCACCAGTAAGACTCACCAGTAAGATTCAACAGTAAGATTCACCAGTAAGACTCACCAGTAAGACTCACCAGTAAGACTCACCAGTAAGACTCACCAGTAAGACTCACCAGTAAGACTCACCAGTAAGACTCACCAGTAAGACTAACTACTAAGATTCACCAGTAAGACTGACTAGTAAGACTCACCAGTAAGATTCAACAGTAAGACTCACCAGTAAGATTCACCAGTAAGACTCACCAGTAAGACTCACCAGTAAGACTCACCAGTAAGATTCACCAGTAAGACTCACCAGTAAGACTCACCAGTAAGATTCACCAGTAAGACTAACCAGTAAGATTCACCAGTAAGACTCACCAGTAAGACTCACCAGTAAGATTCACCAGTAAGACTCACCAGTAAGACTCACCAATAAGACTCACCAGTAAGATTCACCAGTAAGACTCACCAGTAAGATTCACCAGTAAGACTAACCAGTAAGATTCACCAGTAAGACTCACCAGTAAGACTCACCAGTAAGATTCACCAGTAAGACTCACCAGGAAGATTCACCAGTAAGACTAACCAGTAAGATTCACCAGTAAGACTCACCAGTAAGACTCACCAGTAAGATTCACCAGTAAGACTCACCAGTAAGATTCAACAGTAAGACTCACCAGTAAGATTCACCAGTAAGATTCGCCAGTAAGACTCACCAGTAAGATTCACTAGTAAGACTCACCAGTAAGACTCACCA